TTCTTTTAATCGACTCTCTTCTCCCTCCCTTTTTTTTAAAAAAGTCTCCCATTAAAGAGTACACTATGCAACGTGTGTATTTTCCCTTCCAGCTCAGTGGAACATCATATAAATTAAAGAGCAGTCTCCCGTATCAGGTTTCTTTAAGTATTCTGGGAAATATGCACAATATAGGCAACACAGTCTTAAAAAAAAAAAAAAAGGAGAAGAAAGAAAACAGAAAGAAAAGGGAGAAACCAGAAGAAAAGGAAAAAGATGCAAACACCTAGAGCAACTTTGCTTTTGAAAAGGGCATTTGTGCAGAGCCCCCACTGAATTTCCCTCCCTGAAAATTCTCTTTATAAATGTGTATAACAATAGCCTAGAGGGAAAGTAAAAGTCAGCTGCTGAAGGAGGGGATGGCTGCCTGGTAAGCTCAGATTGCAGGGGTGGGGGTCAGAGCAGAGGGGAGGGCAGCATTTGCGATGGGCTTCCCCCCCCCATCTCATTGCTTATAATTAGTGAGAGAAATTTGAGCTACTGCCAATGTCTGTGGACCTTGAATATTATAAGGCCAACGTGGCGTCAAATATCTTAACATTCATAAGTGTTATGGGCTGTAAATAAAGCCTGTGGATTTATGACCCGGTGGCGCTTGCCAGCAATGGACTGGGGCACATTTCTTTCAGCAGACCTGTCGAGGTGCAAGTTTGCCTTTGGTTGTAAAATTAACCATTTCCTTCACAAATGTGCTCAATTATAAGTCAGAGTTGAAGATTTACTTACACGGTTGCCAAGAGTCACTCCCAGAAGAAACTCAGATGGCCACATCATAACCCTCTTCAAAAAGAAAAGCATCAAGAATTTGATTCACCCTTCCTCTGCAAAACTTCTGTACTGTGTCACCTCAAAACAGTTACAAATGCGGTTCGAGATATTATCTAATTCCACTTACCAAGACTAAAAAGCTTACAACCTACTTCCCTGGAAAGTGCTTATTTATTTGGCAACTCCATGGATTTTAAAAAAAAAAAAAAGGCGTAAATCACTCCTTGCCTGAAGTCTCTTCCCTTCCCCCAATCAATATGTCATCTACTTCCTGTGTAGGAGAGGGCCTTTGCTAAATCCAGGTTGTCTCATACTTAACTGCCAATAAACCAACTTCCACATAACTTCCAGACAGCTGGGGAAAAGGTCCTCGGGGGTTTTAGTCATGGTCCAGAAACACGCGTCCGCACAAAAATTTGCAGCTGTCCTTTCTCTCCAGTGCATTTTTAATGTGATTCGGGGCCCCTGTTGTGAAACATCTGACAAAATGTGAAATCCTCTTAGATACCTCCTACTTTACCCACTGTGCATGTGTAAGAGAAGTTGCCCGAGATTTCTCAACCAAGAACTCGAGGCACTTTTTGTAGGCACACAGGCACCTCGTGGGATGGAAGAAGGCATTGAAAACCTGGAAAGATGTCTACTGACATCTTTAAAAGCACAGCCTCTAGTACCACTATTAAAATCCAAGTTTTCTAAAGCAAATATTTTTGTAATGGCGTGCAGAACTGCAGTTCCTACATGCGCTGCTCACAAGCACTGCATTCTTGATCTGCCAACCCCCGGAAACCTTCCTGTAACTTTTTCGCAGCTTGCTAAGAAACAGAAAGCTAACCAGCTTCCAGCAGGGACTCTAAATGAAACCCATATCAGTAAAATTCAAATCAACGAGGAAAACTCCTAAGCGAGACCCGGGATTGTCTTCCTCCAAATCTTTCCTCAATCAGGTAGGGGGCATCAGTGAAAGCTACTTCCTTTTAGCCGTCAAAAGTTTCCAAAAACACTTCTTCCAGAGAAGCACTTCAGGCTCCCAACTGCTTAATAGTTTGTTTCTGGCGTTTCAGAAAGCTTTAAATTCAACAAACGGCAAAGCGCTGGCGTATTAAATTTATAATCATTAAAATATGACTTACTGGGTGAATGTTGAACCCATAATCCATACTGCAGACATTAAACCCCAACCTATAAAGATTAGTCCAGAATTAATACTGTTGCAGTGAGATTGAAATCTAAACATGTTCGCCATAAATATTTCTGAAGGAGATGAAAAACAATTAGCATAAATACCAAAGAAGGGCAAGAACACCTGTTCTTTTTCAGGGCGATAAGCATTTTATTGTTCTCTATTTAAAATGTAATGACCTGTGTAATTACAGTAATATTACATTGTTATGGAGGGGCTTGGAATGTCACACTTTGAAAAGTGTTGTCAAAACAATGGGGGGGTGGGAGGACAACAGGGAAGGACCACCATTAACCCTTCACACTCCGAGGTCTAAATCTTTTGTATTCGAAAGGATTATGCTGTTTGAGTGAGAAGAAAACATCCATTTTTCACAAGGCAGAAAGAAAAGTTGCCCGGCTAAATAAAACCCCAGTGAATAGGCCCCTCTTGGTTTCCTTTAAACGCTGGATTCCAAGTTCAAAAATGAATTCAAGATGCTGCATATTTATTTGTTCAAACTAGTAGCAAACAGCTCAGTTGAAAAGCAAATAACTTGGGATAAAAGATGCAAGAACTCTCATAATCAAGTCCTAAAAAAGTAATTTCAAACCTAACTGGAATTTTGACCACCATCTCCCCATTTCTCATTTGGCAGGAGGGGAAAAGAAATGTAACACTACTTTTTCCTATCAACTTTAATATGGTAACAGTATTCTTATCTTCTACGTACAAATGTTACCACAATTCTAATATTTGCAGTTCTATCACTTCCCATCTATTTCACTTGACCTCTCTCTCTTTAATGCATTTTGGTATTCGAATCTGTCTTTTAAAAAGCTGTTCCTATTACTCTATCAAAGACGAAATTAATGTTATGCAGAAATCTTTGTCAATTTAAAATAAAATTATTACTATCAAGCTTTATGGTATCTTCAGCAATTAAAGCATTATTCTTGAGATAATGTATTATTCATCATAAGCCGATTTAATGATACTCCTTAATTCTTTACATTCTTATACAGAAAAGCAGAAATCAGGGATTGAAAAGAGTTGGCTTCTTCAAGGATGCAGCTGCTTACAGGTACACTCATAAGTAACAGAAAATGTAGCAAAAATACCACCACCAAGGAGGGTCTGGAAAAGAATAAAGCACACAGCTAATTTGTCTTTACACCTTGCCCTCCAAAATACCCTCTAGGAAGCACTAAGAATTTCAGATGAGCATGAAAAGCCCGCTGTCTTGCCTATAGATTCCTCCGGCAGCTGTATCAAATCTGGAATTGCAAGCTGGCCCCTCTGATGGAAGACGTCAGGAGTGACACACAACAGCCTCTCGTCCTCATTTCCATGGCTCTGCTGCCCGGCCTAAATAAATAACTTTAATTTTGGAGCACATAATCTAACCCAGGTAACAGATAGGAAGGCGGAAGGGGCAGTGCACACAAAGATGTCTGTTGGTGTTTGACATGCAAATATGAAAACTGCCTACTGAGTTCAGAAATGTCTTCTCAGACTCAATCTGATGTCACAGCACAAGGCCACCCGCTAAGTCCACAATTAAAATAACTAGACGCCCTCTACTCCTATAATGCCGACAAAGGGAACCGATGGTTGGGAGCCTTCCTTTACGCACCGGGAAGTCAGTTATTTGCCTCTAACAATTTCCCCGTTTCCTAATTACAGCACAACACAACTGCTCAAGTTTTTGGAGATAGTATGGCGAGACAGCCGGCGGTCACAAACAGGGATTTTGCAGAGTCAAGACAGCCAGCAAGCCCGCCATCACAGCTCAATATTCAGATGGCCTTTCAGATGGCCAAGTGGATTTTAAAATAATACCAGGGAGGCTTCCATCGTAGGGGGAGGGGATGAGAGTAAGAAATTCTCATGGTTACTTTGGAATGTTGCTTGGTCGGGTTTTGTGAGTACACAAACCCTCGGGTTGCGAGCCGAACGCTCCCGGTTTAAGATGCCCACAAGCTCCCAAGAAAAATACAACGTAGCCGGACTGTGCTTCCCCCCACAGCCCGGCCCCTGCAGCCTGAAAGAGCTGGCCCTGCAGGGAGGTCAGGCTTGCAACGCTCTCTCAGCTTCCCAAGCATGCAGAAGCCTGGGCGCAGGGGAGGGGGGAATAATTATTTCTCATTCCTAGCCATAAAAAATGACCGGTCTAGCATGCCCTTGCCATTTTTGCAGGGGCCCAAAAACAAGTCAAACCTGATGGTTAATATTTTAATACTTAAAAACACTTGTAGATCTGATCGACTCCCGACTGGCAAGCCCTCGGCCATTAGCACCGATTCCACGGCTGCTGAACAGTGGGTGCATTATTTCAAATTGCTATCTCAAGTTACCGAAAAAGAAAATACAAAAGTAGTGTGTGTGTAAATAAGGGGTAGGGGGTCCAAACTAGAGAAGGTGCAAATGACAATTCCGGGAAACCAGGCACAAACGGCAAGAGATTGCCTCTAGAGATTCACAATCCAAGCATTTTAGAGAGTGGGGGGAAGGGGTTCAGGACGAGGGCAGGGGGCAGAGGCCGGTCCAGGAAGGGGATGAGCCTTCTTAACAAATGTCAAGGGTGGGCGCGGGACGCACGCTGCGAGAAGCGCCCCAGGAGCTTGGCACCCAGCGCTGACCTGGGCCCCCCCCAAAGTTGGGAGGCCCACGATCAGCAGCCCACTCCCTTGAAGGAGAGGCGTCCTTGGCCTCCCTCGCACTCTGCACCCCTTTTGGCCCGCACAGCGTGGTCTCTGGCCCCTCACAGCCCACGGAGGGCCTTCTCGAGAGCTGGTGAGCGCAGACCCCGCTCTAAGCCCCAAGGCACCAAAATTCCCTAGAAATACATCGAGTCCGCTCGAAGGAGGCCATCCCGGCCGCCCACAAACCAAGAACCCTGGCCACAGGGGCCTTCCCACCCCGCGCGGCCCAGGAGAGCCCGCAGCCAGCGGCGGGGCGGTCGAGCCCGCCACAGCGCCCAGGGTGCCCGCGGCCCTGCGGGGTAGCCCAAGGAGAGGAAGCCCAGAGCCCGCAAGTTTGCAGTGCGACCAGTCTGCCAAGCGTGACCTTCCAGGGCCAAGGGGGAGGAGGGCTGAGAGCTGGCGATCACCACTAGAAAGCTAAACAAATAACCGGCCGAGAGAGAAAGCCGAGGCGCTTCTCCAGGGCCCCGGGCTCCGCGCGCGCGCGCGCTCGCTCGCTCGTTTTCCATCCCAACGCCTGGAGGAAAATCCACTGTCTACCCCGCGCGTCCGGCGCAGCCCCGGTCCCTGAGTTCCCGGGCAGCGGCAGCCAAGGGGTTAACCGGGGAAAGCCCAAGACGCCACAGAAGAGGGAAGGAAGAGGGAGAGAGAGAAAAGAAAGAGCCACACAGTCATCTTCCCAGGGTGAAGAAACAAACACCACCACCAAGGGGGAGGGGGCCATCAGAGCGCAAAAAAAAAAAAAAAAGTTCTTCTGATTGTTTTCCCCCCCAACAAAGCCCTGCTTGGAAAGAAAGCTCTCCCCAACATCACAAGGCAGCAAACTGAAAGCAAGAACATGGCGAAGTACAAACAAATCCAGTCCACAAAAGGCAGAAAAGTTTGGAGAGTTTCGGGCGGCCTGGGCCCCGAGCGGGGGAGGGGAGGCGGGGAGGGGAGAGGCG